TTTTTTCCCCTAACTTGTTACTGCTTGCCCCTTGTTCCAGTGGTCGCCATCCTTCCTTATCCTAACATCCCAGTTACAGTGTCTGAACCGATTCTTAAATTGAGGTTACAAGGTATTTCCAGTTTGCCAAGGGGCCCGTGGTTGTTGTGTTTTTTTGGGTTGGGTATGTAAGGTTTGGGGTGTGTGGTGTGTGTGTGTGTGTGTGTGTGTGTGTGTGGTGTATGTATGTGTGTGTGTGTGTGTGTGTGTGTGTGTGTGTGTGTGTGTGTTTTGTGTTGTTGGGGTGTGTGTGTGTTGTGTGTGTGTGTGTGTTTGTGGGGTGTGTGTGTGTGGGGTGTGTGTGTTGTGTCTGTGTGTGTGTGTGTGTGTGTGTGTGGTGTGTATGGTTGTGGGGTGTGTGTGTGTGTGTGTGTGTGTGTGTTGTGTGTGTTTGTGTGTGTGTGTGTGTGTGTGTTGTGTGTGTGTGGGGTTGTGTTGTGTGTGTGTTGTGTTGTGTGTTGTGTGTTGTGTTGTGTGTGGTTGGTGGTGTGTGTGTGGGGTGTGGTGTGTGTGTTGTGTGTGTGTTTTGGTGTGGTGTTGTGTGTTTTGTTTGTGTGTGTGTGTGGTGTGTGTGTGTGTGTGTGTGTGTGTGTGTGTGTGTGTGGTGTGTGTCTGTGTGTGTGTGTGTGTGTGTGTGGTGTGTGTGTGGGTCCTGTGTTTGTTTGTGTGTGTGTGGGGTACTCACCTAGTTGTACTCACCTAGTTGAGGTTGGGGGGTCGAGTCCGAGCTCCTGGCCCCGCCTCTTCACTGGTCGCTACTGGGTCCCCTCTCCCTGAACCGTGAGCTTTATCATACCTCTGCTTAAAGCTATGTATGGATCCTGCCTCCACTACATCGCTTCCCCAAACTATTCCACTTACTGACTACTCTGTGGCTGAAGAAATACTTCCTAACATCCCTGGATTTATCTGTGTCTTCAGCTTCCAACGTGTCCCCTTGTTACTGTGTCCAATCTCTGGAACATCCTGTCTTTGTCCACCTTGTCAATTCCTCTCTGTATTTTGTATATCGTTATCATGCCCTCCCCTATCTCTCCTGTCCTCCAGTGTCGTCAGGTTGAATACCCTTAACCTCTCCTCGTAGAACATACCTCTTAGCTCTGGGACTAGTCTTGTTGCAAACCTTTGCACTTTCTCTTAGTTTCTTTACGTGCTTGGCTAGGTGTGGGTTCCAAACTGGTGCCGCATACTCCAATATGGGCCTAACGTACACGGTGTACAGGGTCCTGAACGATTCCTTATTAAGATGTCGCAATGCTGTTCTGAGGTTTGCTAGGCGCCCATATGCTGCAGCAGTTATTTGGTTGATGTGCGCTTCAGGATCTTCAGATCTTTTTCCTTGAGTGAGGTTTGTAGTCTCTGGCCCCCTAGACTGTACTCCGTCTGCGGTCTTCTTTGCCCTTCCCCAATCTTCATGACTTTGCTCTTGGTGGGATTGAACTCCAGGAGCCAATTGCTAGACCAGGTCTGCAGCCTGTCCAGATCCCTTTGCAGTTCTGCCTGGTCTTCGATCGAGTGAATTCTTCTCATCAACTTCACGTCATCTGCAAACAGGGACACCTCAGAGTCTATTCCTTCCGTCCTGTCGTTCACAAATACCAGAAACAGCACTGGTCCTAGGACTGACCCCTGTGGGACCCCGCTGGTCACAGGTGCCCACTCAGACACCTCGCCACGTACCATGACTCGCTGCTGTCTTCCTGACAAGTATTCCCTGATCCATTGTAGTGTGTGTTTGTGTGTGTGTGTGTGTGTGTGTGTGTGTGTGTGGTGTGGTGTGTGTGTGTGTGTTGTGTGTGTGTGTGTGTGTGTGTGTGTGTGTGTGTGTGTGTGTGTGTGTGTGTGTGTGTGTGTGTGTGTGTATGTATGTACTCATCTAGTTGTAGTCGCCTAGTTGTGGTTGCAGGGGTCGAGTCACAGCTCCTGGCCCCTCCTCTTCACTGGCCGCTACTCGGTCACTTCCCGCTCCGTGAGCCTTATCATACCTCTTCTTAAAGGTATGTATGGAACCTGCCTCCACTACATCACTACCCAGACTATTCCACTTCCTGACTACTCTGTGACTGAAGAAATACTTCCTAACATCCCTGTGGTTCATCTGAGTCTTCGACTTCTAACCGTGTCCCGTTGTTGTTGTGTCCCATCTCTGGAACATCCTGTCTCTATCCACCTTGGGATTCCTCTCAGTATTTTATATGCCGTTATCATATCCCCCCTATCTTTCCTGTCCTCCAGTGTCGTCAGGTCGATTTCCCTTAACCTCTCCTCGTAGGATATACCCCTTAGCTCTGGGACTAGCCTTGTTGCAAACCTTTGCACTTTCTCTAGTTTCCTTACATGCTTGGCTAGGTGTAGGTTCCAAACTGGCGCTGCATACTCCAATATGGGTCTCACGTACACAGTGTACATGGTCCTAAATGGCTCCTTATTGAGATGTCGGAATGCTGTTCTTAGGTTTGCTAGGCGCCCGTATCCTGCAGCAGTTATTTGGTTGATGTGTACCTCAGGAGATGTGCTCGGTGTTGTACTCACCCCAAAATCCTTTTCCTTGAGTGAGGTTTGTAGGCTCTGGCGTGCTAGATTGTACTCCCTCTGTAGTCTTCTTTTCCCTTCTCAAATCTTCACGACTTTGCACTTGGTGGGGTTGAATTCCAAGAGTTAGTTGCTGGACCAGGCCTGCAGCCTGTCCAGATTCCTCTGTAGTTCAGCCTGGTCCTCGTCCGATTGAATTCTTCTCATCAACTTCACATCTACAAACAGGGACGCTTCTGAATCTATTCCTTCTTTCAGGTCGTTCACAAATACCAGAAATAGCACCCGTCCTAGGAATCATCCCTGTGGCACCCCGCTCATTAACAGCGCCCACTCTGACACCTCGCCACGTACCATGACTCGTTGTTGTCTTCTTGACAGGTATTCCCTGATCCACTATAGTGCCTTCCCTGTTATCCCTGCCTGGTCCTCCAGCTTTTGCACTAAACTCTTGTGTGGAACTGTGTCAAACGCCTTCTTAGAGTCCAAAAAAATGCAATCTACCCACCTCTCTCTCTTGTCTTACTGCCGTCACCCTGTCATAGAACTCTAGTAGGTTTGTGACGCAGGATTTCACGTCCCTGAAACCGTGCTGGCTGTCACTGATAAGCTCAATCCTTTCTAAGTTCTCCACCACTCTTCTCCTGATAATTTTCTCTATGATCTTGCATACTATACACGTCAGTGACATTGGTCTGTCTCCTTTTTTTAAAAATTGGGACTACATTTGCTGTCTTCCATACTTCCGATAGTCGCCTTGTTTCCATAGATGTGTTGAAGATAGTTGTTAGTGGTACACAAAGCGCCTCTGCTCCCTCTCTCAGAACCCATGGAGAGATTCTATCCGGCCCCATCACCTTTGAGATATCTAGCTCGCTTAGCAGCCTCTTCACTTCTTCCTCAGTTGTATGTATTGTGTCCAACACTTGATGATGTACCCCACCTCTCTGTCTTTCTGGAGTCCCTTCTGTCTTCTCTGTGAACACTTCTTTGAATCTCATGTTGAGTTCCTCACATACTTCACGGTCGTTTCTTGTTGTCTCTCCTCCTTCCTTCCTTAGCCTGATTACCTGGTCCTTGACTGTTGTTTTCTTCCTGATGTGGCTGTATAACAGCTTCGTGTCAGATTTGGCTTTCGCTGCTATGTCATTCTCACAATGTCTTTGGGCGTCCCGTCTTACCCGTGCATATTCATTTCTGGCTCTATGACTGTTCTCTTATTCTTCTGGGTCCTTTGTCTTCTACACTTCTTCCATTCCCTGGACTTAATAATTAGAATGAACGAAACTTGTGGTAGTAGAAGGCAAAATTTCTTCCGGAACAAAAATTCCTGATGGACCATATATTCCTTGGTAAACAAAAAATTCCCTGGTGGAC